GGGAAAGCGCACACCGCAAATTACTGGTTGTTTTGTCTCCCGCTGGACACTCTGTGAGGCTGCTTTCTCATACCCCTGTTTGCTGGTCTCCGATAGGAGTCCAAGATGGAGGATCCGCGCTGCGTTAGCTGGTAGGGGACATCTGCATGAATCTCTCCTTGCTCTCTGTTCTCTGTTAGTTTTCTCACTCCATTTGGTGCTTGGCTGAGTTCTTTATCTCTTCACTTGATGTTTTAGGGTTTCAGAATTGTTGTATTCTCTGTTTGGCTTAGTTTTTTGTATCTTTGCTGTGGAGGGACGGCGTGGTGCTTCTGCCTAGAGCGCCATTTAGCCGGAACTCCAAAACAATACCATTTATAATAGCTCCTAAAAAAATAAAATACTTAGGAATTAATCTAACCAAGGTTGTAAAAGGCCTATACAAAGAAAACTACAAAACTCTACTGCAAGAATCCCAAAGGCATCTACATAAATGGAAAAAACATATTATGCTCATGGATAGGTAGACTCAACATACTGAAGATGACATTTCTACCCAAAGCAATTTACAAATACAATGCAATCGCGACTCAAATACCAACAGCATTCTTTAAAGAGATGGAAAAACTAATTATTAACTTTATATGGAAAGGGTAGAAGGACGGGATAAGTAAAGCACTATTGAAGAAGAAGAATAAAGTAGGAGAATTCACACTACTTGACCTCAGAACCTACTATACAGCTATAGTAGTCAAAGCAGCCTGGTACTGGTATAACGACAGAAACTTTGACCAATGTAATGGAATTGAGAACCCAGATGTAAATCTATCCCTCTATGGTCACCTGATCTTCAACAAAGGCCCCAAGTCCATCAAATGTGGAAAAGACAGTCTTTTTAACAAATGGTGCCGGCAAAACTGGAAGTCCATCTGCAGAAAAATGAAACAGGACCCATGCCTCACACCATACACAAAAACTAGTTCAAAATGGACCAAAAAACCTAAATATACAGCCCAAAACTATTAAGTTCATAGAAGAAAAAATAGGATCAACGCTAGAGGTCCTAATACACAGCTTTAACAGGATACAAACCATAATCAACAAGACACAAATTCCAGAAGATAAGCTAGATAACTAGGATCTTCTAAAACTTAAACACTTATGCTCATCAAAAGACTTCACCAGAAGAGTAAAAAGAGAACCTGGACTCTGGGAAAAAAATTTTGGCCTTTACAAATCAGACAAAGGTCTAATCTCTAAAATCTACAAGAGAATCCAACACCTCTACAACAAAAAGTGAAATAATCCAATTAAAAAATGGGCAAAGGAAATGAACAGACACTTCACCAAAGAAGACATTCAAACTGCCAACAGACACACGAGGAAATGCTGGAGATCACTAGCTATTAGAGAAATGCAAATTGAAACCAGAATGAGACACCATCTCACCCCGGCATTACTGGCACGAATCAAAACAACTGGAAATAACATGTTGGAGAGGCTGTGGGGAGATCAGAACTCTTATGTACCACTGGTGGGGATGCAAAATGATACAATCATTTTGGAAAACAATATGGCACTTCCTTAGAAAGGTAGAAATAGAAATACCATATGTTCCAGCAACCCCACTCCTAGGAATGTATCCTAGAGAAATAAGAGCCGTCACACGAATAGACATAAGCACGCCCATGTTCCTTGCAGCATTGTTCACAATAGCAAAAAGATGGAAACAACCTAGATGCCCACCAACAGATGAATGGATAAACAATTTATGGTACATACACACAGTTGAGTATTATGCAACGGTAAAGAACAATGATGAATCTGTGAAGCATCTCATAACGTGGATGAATGTTGAGTGAAATAAGTCAACCACAAAAGGACAAATATTGTATGAGACCACTACTGTAAAAACTTATGAAAAGGTTTACACACAGAAAGAAACAATCTTGGATGGTTACGAGGGAGGGGAGGAGTGTGGGGGAAACACTAAATAGACAATAGATAAGTGGTAACTTTGGTGAAGTGGAAGACAGTACACAATACTGGGAAAGCCAGCACAACTTGTACAAGGAAAGACCTTGGAAGCTCCATAGACACATCCAAACTCCCTGAGGGACTGAATTGCTGGGCTGAGGGCTATGGGGACCATGGTCTCGGGGAACATCTAGCTCAATTAGCATAACACCGATTATAAAGAAAATGTTCTACATTCTACCTTGGTGAATAGCATCTGGGGTCTTAAAAGCCTGTGAGGAGCCATCTAAGATACTCCACTGGTCTCATCCCTTCGGCAGCAGGGGAAAATGAAGAAAACAAGATACAAGGGAAAGATTAGTCCAAAGGACTAATGGACCACAACTACAAAGGCATCCACCAGACTGAGTCCAATACAACAAGATGGTGCCCGGCTACCACCACTGACTGGTCTGACCCAGATCACAACAGAGGGTCCCGGACAGAGCTGGAGAAAAATGTAGAACAAAATTCTAACTGACAAAAAAAGACCAGACTTACTGGTCGGACAGAGACTGGAGAAACCCTGAGAGTATGGCCCCCGGACAACCTTTTAGCTCAGTAATGAAGTCACTCCCAAGTTTCACCCTTCAGCCAAAGACTAGACAGGCCCATAAAACAAAACAAGACTAATGGGGCACAACAGCCCAGGACAAGGTCTAGAAGGCAGGAGGGGACAGGAAAGCTGGTAAGAGGGAACCCGAGGTCGAGAAGGGAGAGTGTTGACATGTTGTGGGGTTGTTAACCAATATCATAAAACAAAATGTGTACTGTTTAATGAGAAACTTTTTGTTGTGTAAACCTTCATCTAAAGAACAACAAAAAAATTAAAAAGAAAAAAAGATTACCCCTTTGGAATCCCAAAAAACAGTCCCCATAACCTTCTGAGCTTTCTTCCCTCTCTTGGCTCATCTTTGAGCCTTCCCGACCTTCCTTAAAACACTTGCTCCATCTATAAACTGTTGTTTTATGTGGGTCAACATTCCCATAAACTTGTGGCAAAGCTTTAACAATTTGGTAGGATGTCCACTTGAGTTTTGTTAAAAATTTGTTATTAAACCTGACCTCAAGATTGTTTTTTTTCCCCCCGTGGTCCAAAAAGGATCCTTTTTTAAAAATGCACCCTAAGAGAAGTATATTACTGAGAGAGTTTGTCTGCAGCCATCCACTGATCACAGAGATGTGTTTGAACACGTTTTGTTTGGAATAAACCTGTGCATGTGTGAACTGAAACCCTCGTAGCAATACTTTTTGACTTATGCCCGTTTAGCCTTTTGTGTTCCCTTCTCATCTATCTTTCCTAGTGGAAAGATTACAGTTGATTCTGCACATGTCTTAGGGAACGCTCTTCTTTGGGCCTGAATTTCCTCCTCTTTAAAGCAAACACTCAGAAGAATTTTGCTAAGACATTTTTTTATCAATAATCTAGCTATTTATTTCCAAGCATTTGCACAAGCTGCTGCTCTAATTCTGGCTTTTGATTAGACCTCTCAGAAAATTACTGAAATCTTCCCCACCCACCACCCCTTTTCAACTCAGCCCTTTCTTCCCCTGTAGTAAGAAGATGGGGGGTTCTATCTTTGGGGAGATGACAATTTGACTGGAGAATGAGACATTCCCCTAGGAAGTAGGCAAAGAATAGTCTGGGACAGGGAGTGATTAAAGCCAAAGGCATGTGGGTCCCACTGTCAGATCTCAGGAAGCTCAAGGACGAGAGAGACTAGGACCTGGGTGGAGGTGGGCAATTTGGGCCCGATAAGCAGCAGAAACAACCCGAGCAAAGATGAGGAGGTGTGACTGAGCCTGGGAGGTTGGTGAGGTGCCCAGTTTGTCTGCAATGGGGGTAGAAGTAACCGGAGAAGACGGTCTCACAGTCTTTTCCCCAATTAGGGACTGACATCAACACAGTTCTGCTGGCAGCTGCTTCAGTGTTCAATCATAGCAACCAGGAGCCTGGGAGGAGCGCCAGTGTAGGAAAGATCCCTTTCATCATCTTCCTGACAGATAGCCCACAGCCGGTGTGACGACCCCCAGTGTGATCCTCTCCAATGTCGGTCAGGCACTGGGCCATAAGGTGTCTCTTTTCAGGTTGGCCTTTGAGGATGATGCTGACTTCTTGCTGCTGCGCTGCCTGTCCCTGGAGAACTGGGGAGCAGCCCGGCGCATATATGAGAACACTGATGCAGCCCTGCAGCTGAAGGTCCTCTATGAGGAGATCTCCATGCCTCTGCTGGCAGACGCGTGTTTTGACTACCTGGGCGGCTTGGTTGAGGCCCTCCATTGGGCCCCTTTCCCTAACTACTTTGGTGGCTCAGAGCTGGTGGCGGCAGGCCAGGTGCAGCAAGGTGAGCAGGAGCTCAGCAACCACCTAGCAGCCCGTGGTCCCCAGGGCCAGCTTCCTGTGGCCCACCACAGTGAGGTGGCCACTGACAGCAGCCAGAAAACCTTTGGTTTCCCAGGGGAACCAGGACCCAATATGACCTGCTTCATCCACTGCCTCTGGACCTACGTCACCATTGAACAGCTTTTGGAGGCACACTTCCAGGCCCATGATACGACCACTCGTCACCTGCTGGCTGCCAAGACCCTCAATCTATCCCTTGAATACAACTTCGTCACACCTCCGACTTCCCTGGTCATGGTGCAGCCCAAGTAGGCCAGCGAAGAGGCCAGGAGTCAGGTCGCCACCACAGGTGGACCAGGTACCATCATGACCTCATCTACCAGCAGGCATGGCCTAGGGGCAGGCACAGACCATCCAGCCTTGGAGCCCAAAGTCTCCTCCAAATCAAGGTCTATGAGACTACAGTCCTACCTATCCTCAACTACTCCTGCCTCTATGAAGAAGATGCCCAGTTCCAAGGAGTTGGAGCCACTAAGTCAGAGCCCTAGAACCTTATCAACCGCAGCACACTCAAAGCCCCAAACTCCAGCACAACAGGATTCTGGCACCTTGGCACGGAACGAAACCTGTTACCCTTGTGCCCTCAGACTCTGGTGCTCTACTGCCTCTGAAGCTAAGCATTTCATCACACCAGAATCGTGGTGTTCTATTATCCATGAATCCCAAGCCACAAGTCCCACCTCTGAATCCTGGCACCCCTTCCAAGCCCAAACCTAGCATTATGAAACATGTTACTCCACTGTATTCCAAGCCCGTTGCTCCATCACAACCTAAACTACATGTTTCATCACACCCTCAATCCGTATTGCATTCACTCAAGAGCCTGAAACAGCTCACATCTGGAGTCCCACACTTCAGATCCCCAAACAGCCACCACACACCAGACCTAGAATTTCTGCTTCCAAAACCCCAAAAAACCTGCCCATAACTGATATCCTCTTACTGAAGACCTCTAAAATTCCATCACCTGTTAAACCTAGTGCTCCACCTCACCAAACTGCCCCAAACCTATCATTCTCTAAACCTGGGACCTCAACTCCTCATACAGCCCAAAACTTACTCTCCCTGAGACCTGCCAGACCGAGGCCCCCACCTCCTCAGAGCCTAAGCACACTTGCAAGTAGAGTCTCCCATCCCACAGCAGTACCATGACCACTTCTGTCCTTGGAGAACCTCTCTGCACTCCCTTTACCCCCACCCTGCCCTCTCTATTGCCCACTGGAAGGTGCTGGCCCCAGCATGACCTACTACCAGGACCTCAGAGCACTAGGCCTGTTCTGGGACCGTCTGTACCAGAAGCCCCAACAATGGGCCTACCCAACAGCTCCAGGCTTACGCCAGAAATCTGCCAATCTTGCTGCCTCCCAGCACCCTCCCTGAGGCTGTCAGCCTGTTCCTTCTCCCCATGGAGGTAGAGCTACTGTCTGAGTCAATGGTGAAGTCCAAGTTTGTGGAGTCTTCGAACCCACCAGCTTTCTATTACCTTCCTCACTCCTGACGAAGATGTTGAGAGTCATGGGCAAGTGGTGAAGTTACAAGCGGGGGTTGGGGGAGGAGGTTATGAATAGACAGCACCAGGATCTGGGAGTCTGCAAGGATTATGCAGATTCTAGTGATAGTATAGCTTCTTGCTTGCTTTGGGACTTTGGGCCAAAAGTACATAAGCACAGAATTGCAGGCCCTGGGAGAGGAGGGATATTAGGACTGGAAATATTGAACAGAAACAAACTGGCCAAGCTGTTGGTTTGACATTTGTTTTGTTGGACAAGAGAATTGTTCATGCTTCGCAGGCAGGGAGGGATGTGGGGATTTAAATGGGAGCATCACTGAGCAAGGCAGGTCTGATCAGTTCTTTAGTGCTCATGAACATCCCTGCTTAATTAGAGGGGTAAAAAAATTTGGGAAGATTGCGACAATTTTATTTCCAAAAGACTGAAATAAAAATAGTTAATATTCTTGAGTTTTTCCTATATGCAGGTACTGCTCTACATATTGTGCTTGTAGTCTCTCATTTAATCCTCACAAGAAACTATTAATATCTCCATTTTACCCATGGGAAAGCTGAAGCTCATAGACTTGTTCAATGTCACACTACTAGTAAGAGGTTTGAATCCACACAGTCTGCTCCCAGACTTCATGTGCTTCACCACTCCACTATTCTGCCTCGTTGAGAAAAGGACTAACATTTCTTTTTTTTTTTATTGTTGTGCTTTAAGTGAAAGTTTACAATTCAAGTTAGTCTCTCATACAAAAATTTATACACAAATTGTTATGTGACCCTAGTTCCTCTCCGTATACTGTGACGGCACACACTCCTCCTTTCCAGCCCTGATTTCCCGTGTCCATTCAACCAGCTCCTGACCCTCTCTGCCTTCTCATCTTGCCTCTGGACAGGAGCTGGCCATTTAATCTCATGTATCTACTTGAGCTAAGAAGCACATTCTTCACAAGTATCCTTTTATGTTCCATAGTCCAGTCTAATCTTTGTCTGAAGAGTTGGCCTAGGGAATGGTTTTAGTTTTGGGCTAACTGAGAGTCTGGGGGCCATGCTTTCTGGGGTTCCTCCAGTCTCAGTCAGACCATTAAGTCTGGGCTTTTTACTAAAATTTGAGTTCTGCATCCCACTTTTCTCCGGCCCCGTCAGGGACTCTCTGTTGTGTTCCCTGTCAGGATGGTCATTGGTGGTAGCCGGTCACCATCCACTTCTTCTGGTCTCAGGCAGATGAAGCCTCTGGTTTACGTGGCCCTTTCTGTCTCTTGGGCTAATACTTTCTTTGTGTCTTTGGTGTTCTTCATTCTCCTTTGCTCCAGGTGGGTTGGGACCAATTGATGCATCTTAGGTGGCTGCTGGCTAGCTTTTAAGACCACAGATGCCACTCACCAAAGTGGGATGCAGAACATTTTCTTAAAAAACTTTGTTATGCCAATTGACCTAGATGTCCCCTGAAAGCATAGTCCCCAGATCCCTGCCCCTGCTACTCTGTCCCTAAAAGTGTTTGGTAGTATTCAGGAAACTTCTTAGCTTTGGTTTAGTCCAGTTGTGCTGACTTCCCCTGTAGTGTGTTTTGTCCTTCCCTTCACCTAAGATAATTCTTTTTTTTTTCTCCTTAGTAGGTCTCTTTTGGTTTCTTGTAGTGTTTTGTAACTTTTTTTGTATAAGTCTTTTACATCTTTAGTTAGATTTATTCCTAAGTATTTTATCTCTTTTTTAATTTTTTTTATTGTACTTTAGATGAAGGTTTGCAGAACAAAGTTTCTCATTAAACAATTAGTACACATATTGCTTTATGACATTGGTTAACAACCCCATGACATGCCAACACTGACCCTTCTCAACCTTCAGTTCCCTAATACCAGCTTTCCTGTGGACTCCTGCCTTCTAGTCCTTGTCCCTGGACTATTGTGCCCCATTAGTCTCGTTTTGCTTATGGGGCTGTCTAATCTTTGGCTGAACGGTTAACCTCGGGAGTGACTTCATTACTGAGCTAAAAAGGTGTCCAGGGGCCATACTCTCAGGGTTTCTCGTCTCTGTCCGACCAGTAAGTCTGGTCTTTTTTTGTCAGTTAGAATTTTATTCTACATTTTTCTCCAGCTCTGTCTGGGACCCTCTGTTGTGATCTCAGTCAGAGCAGTCAGTGGTGGTAGCTGGGCACCAGCTAGTTGTACTGGACTCTGTCTGGTGGTTGCCTTTGTAGCTGTGGTCCATTAGTTCTTTGGACTAATCTTTCCCTTGTATCTTGTTTTCTTCATTTTCCCTTGCTGCCGAAAGGGTGAGACCAGTAGAGTATCTTAGATGGCTTCTCACAGGCTTTTAAGACCCCAGATGCTATTCACCAAGGTAGAATGTAGAACATTTTCTTTATAATCGGTGTTATGCTAATTGAGCTAGATGTTCCCCGAGACCATGGTCCCCATAGCCCTCAGCCCAGCAATTCAGTCCCTCAGGGAGTTTGGATGTGTCTATGGAGCTTCCAAGGTCTTTCCTTGTACAAGTTGTGCTGGCTTTCCCAGTATTGTGTACTGTCTTCCACTTCACCAAAGTTACCACTTATCTATCGTCTATTTAGTGTTTCCCCCACACCCCTCCCCTCCCTCGTAACCATCCAAGATTGTTTCTTTCTGTGTGTAAACCTTTTCATAAGTTTTTACAGTAGTGGTCTCATACAATATTTGTCCTTTTGTGGTTGACTTATTTCACTCAACATTCATCCACGTTATGAGATGCTTCACAGATTCATCATTGTTCTTTATCATTGCGTAATACTCCATTGTGTGTATGTACCATAGTTTGTTTATCCATTCATCTGTTGGTGGGCATCTAGGTTGTTTCCATCTTTTTGCTATTGTGAACAATGCTGCAATGAACATGAGTGTGCATATGCCTATTCGTGTGATGGCTCTTATTTCTCTAGGATTATATTCTTAGGAGTGGGATTGTTGGATCATATGGTATTTTTATTTCTAGCTTTCTAAGGAAGTGCCATATCATTTTCCAAAATGGTGTATCATTTTGCATTCCCACCAGCAGTGCATAAGAATTCCGATCTCCCCACAGCCCCTCCAACATTTGTTATTTGTAGTTTTTTTTGGATTCGTGCCAGTAATGCCGGGGTGAGAAGATATCTCATTGTGGTTTTAATTTGCATTTCTCTAATGGCTAGTGATCGCGAGCATTTCCTCATGTGTCTGTTGGCGACTTAAATGTCTTCTTTGGTGAAGTGTCTGTTCATTTCCTTTGTCCATTTTTTAATTGGATTATTTAACTTTTTGTTGTAGAGGTGTTGGATTTTCTTGTAGATTTTAGAGATTAGACCTTTGTCTGACTTGTAATGTCCAAAACTTTTTCCCAGTCTGTAGGTTCTCTTTTTACTCTTTTGGTGAAGTCTTTTGATGAGCATAAGTGTTTAATATTGGGAAGATCCCAGTTATCTAGCTTATCTTCTGGAGTTTTTGTGTTGTTTGATTATGGTTTGTATCCTGTTAATGCTGTGTATTAGGGTCTCTAGCGTCCATCCTATTTTTTCTTCTATGAACCTTATATTTTTTGGCTTTATATTTAGGTCTTTGATCCATTTTGAATTAGTTTTTGTATATAGTGTGAGGCATGGGTCCTGTTTCATTTCTCTACAGATGGACATACAGTTTTGCCGGCATCATTAGTTAAAAAGACTATCTTTTCCCACATTTGATGGACTCTGGGCCCTTGTCAAAGATCAGGTGACCGCAGGTGGAAAGATTTACATCTGGGTTCTCAATTCCATTCCATTGGTCAAAGTATCTGTTGTTGTACCAGTACCAGACTGCTTTGACTACCGTAGCTGTACAGTAGGTTCTGAGGTCATATAGTGCAAGTCCTCCCACTTTATTCTTATTCTTCAATAGTGCTTTACTTATCCGAGGATTCTTCCCTTTCCATATAAAGTTAATGATTAGTTTTTCCATCTCTTTAAAGAATGCTGTTGGTATTTGGATCGCGATTGCATTGTATTTGCAAATTGCTTTCAGTAGAATTGACATTTTCACAATGTTGAGTCTACCTCTCCATGAGCATGGTATGTTTTTCCATTTATGTAGATCCCTTTGGGTTTCTTGCAGTAGTGTTTTGTAGTTTTCTTTGTATAGGCTTTTACCTCCCTGGTTAGATTTATTCCTAAGTATTTTATTTTTTTAGGGGCTGTTATAAATGTATTGTTTTCCTGATTTCCTTTCATCATTCTCTTTATTGGTGTATAGGAATCCAACAGTTTTTTTGTATGTTTATCACCTAAGATAATTCTCATCTACTATCTGTCTCCCTCCCGCCCCACCCTTGTAGCCATCAAAGAATGTTTTCTTCTGTGTTTAAACCTTTTCTTGAGTTCTTATAATAGTGGTCTTATAAAATATTTGTCCTTTTGCGACTGACTAAATTCACTCAGCATAATGTCTTCCAGGTTCCTCCATGTTGTAGGATGTTTCATGGATTCATTGTTGTTCTTTATCATTGTGTAACATTTCGTTGTGTGAATATACCATAATTTGTTTGTCCGTTTGGAGAAAAGGACTAACATTTCCTGTGTGACTTTTTAAGGCATGATTAGAACCAATGGGAGGTGGCGGTAAGTCACAGGGTTAACATTCTTGACACGTCCCTTTCCTTCTCTCCACCACGTCCCATACATCCTCATTTCTGGCAATGTTACCTCTAATATATTTCCGAAATCTGTCCACTTCTCACCCTCCAAACAGGCATTCTTAGGGCAGCCTACCATTCTGTCTCACCTAGAAAATTGCTCCAGCCCCCTCACTGGCCTCCCTGCTTGCTCTTTTGTCCTGCTACAAGCCATTCTCCCAGAGCAACTAAAGAGATCTTTTAAAAACACAAATCAATTTGTGTCCCTTCCGTACTTAATCCTCCCCCAAGTGTTTCACATCACACTTAGAATAAAGTACAAAATCCTCATCATGGCTTACAAACCCTGCATGATATGCCCCCTATCTTCATACCTCTCTGACCTCTCCTTCTCCCACTCTCCTCCTTACTCTCTGCTGTAGCCACACTGGCCTCTCTGTTCTTCCAGTGAGCCCTGACCCTCCACTTTCACTCACGGACTTCTCTCACACTGTTTTCGCTGCCTGATAATAACCTTGACATACCTTGCTCTGCTCACTTCCTACCACCCTCATTCCTCCCATTGCCTCTCAAACTCCAGCTCATTCCTTAAATCTTACCTTAAATGTCGTGGCTCCACCCCGTTCCCAGGCTATGTCAGATGTCTGTTACTCCCGCAGTAACTCAATTATTTTGTCTTATAGCATTTATCACCATTAGTAATTATGACAAATTCATGTCTGTCTTCCCCACTAAATTATGAGTTTCACCAGATCAGAAAACCTGTCTGTCTTTTTTCACCATCATATCCCTCATACCTAAAACAGTGCCTGAATGAATGAATGAACAAATGAATGTATAAATGCTATGAGGAAGATCTTTGAACATATCTAAGCTTGAATAACTAAGAGGCTGTAGAGACAGTAAGGTCCCAGTTCTGGAGATGTGAAGATCAGTTTAGGAAGACAGTGAGGACTCCACCAGTCAAAAGGAAAGTGGGCTCTTTGGTGGGCTCAGGGCATTTTTGCCCTGGGAGTATGAAGGATTCCTCTTACTTCTTTTGTGTTTGACAGGAAATCCACATTGGGATGGCAATTCTGAGGAGATTCTAGGAGGAGTTGGAGGCAGCATGGAATCTCAGGCAAATTCTGTGGGGCTAGCAAAAGGTGAGCAAGGAGCTCCCCTGACAAAAATCCCTAAACCTTCACTTTCATTCAGTTAACAATCCCATAGGCATTGTGAGAGCTCAGAGGAGGGACAATGTATTAGTTTTCTATTACTACATAACAAATTATCACAAATTTAACAGCTTAAAACAACACCATTAATTATCTCATAGTTATGTAGGTCAGAAGTCTAGGAACAGGTTAGCTGGGTCCTCTGCTTAGAGTTTCACAAGACTGAAATCAAGGCATCAGTCAGACTGAATTATCATCTTCTTCGATGCTCATTCAGATTGTTGGCAGAATTTAGTTCTTTGTCTTTGTAGGACTGACAGAGGGGGTTCACTGTCAGCTTCTAGAGGCCATCTGGGGTCACTTTCAGATCCTAGGGTAACCCACATTCTTTGCCCCCTCCATCTTCAAAGCCAGCCAAGGAGAATCTCCCTCATGTCAAATCTTTCTCACACTTCAAATCTCTCTGACTTCTCTGTCTCTCACTCTAGACCCAGATTTAAAGTGCTCATGTGATTAAGTCAGGCCCATCTAGATAATATCCCTTTCTTAAGGTCAACTTAACAGTTATATCTCATCATAGCCACAGTCCCAGGCATTATACAAGGTGTGTACACCAGGGGGCAGTGAATCTTGGGTACCATCTTGGGATTCTACCTACTACAAGTAGAGAGCAAGAGAAGATAACATTTGAGCTGGCCTGGAAATTGATCCCTGGTAACTAAAGGAAAGGAAAACATTCCAGGTGGCAGGAAGCAGGAGCGAAGGCTCAGTGGCAGGAAAAGGCAGGGCACTCATAAGAATACTCAGTCAGTTGGGCGGAGCATAAAGAGAAGACTGGGGAGCTAGAGAGGAGCTAGATTTCAGAAAAGCCCCAAATGCCAGGCTGAGGAGTTTGATCCCTATCTGAAAGGAGGAGATTCAGAGGTCCCAGGGTTCCAGAATTCCCAGTAATGTGATAGATCAGTCCCTTGCCAATGCAGTCCCCTTCTCTTTTGCAGGCATGTTGCCAAGTATCTTCACCTTCTCATCCTAGGGTAAGTGAGCCACCTCCACTGCCTTCCTGTCTGAGTCTAGGACAGCTTGTGCACTGGGACTGGGGCTGGGATCTCTCTCTGGGGGAAATAAATATGGCCTCCTCCCTTCCCCTGCTGTCCCTTTCTCTCCTCTCCGCTTCCCCTCCCATTCCTTCCAGAGTCATAATTTCAAAGCTGCATTCCCTGCCTTGCAGTGGATGGGGACCCCACTTTGTGATCCACATCCCACACTCAGAAGAGAAGGTCGGCTTCACACTGGATGAGCGCCCAGGGGAACTGCTGCAGCTCATAGAGGACCCAAAGGCAGGTGAGAGCCCCAAGGACTCCACCTCAATACCGCACCACAGTCAGACAAACTCATGTCAATACCCCCAGATATTTGTAGACTGATACCCCCTGCCTATGTTGCGGGTGACCATGTGTAAGGTCATGCTCCAGCCCCACGCTCCCTTCCTTCCAAGGCTACATGTGAGTGGGCAGCTGCTTGGGGCACCACCAAGCTCAGGCCATGAGGACCAGATCTGCACCTACTTCCAGATTATCACAGTCACTGCAGACAAACCCCAAGCCTATGTTGTCACCATCACCCGCGGCTCCATATCTGTCCTGCTGAGGAGGCCCCAGCAGTAGCTCCATATGGTTTCTGTAGCCAGCCTCACCCTCCGCCTTGTGCTCCACCTCGAGTTCTTAGTCCTCCGGCACTACTAAAGGTACCCTAACACCTTGCAACTACCCCACTTAGGGTTCTATGTGGTCAGTGGCTCAGGCCTCAGCCCCTTGGCCGATGGCCTGCTGGATAAGTGCACTGAGGCTGAGAGGGCTGGGGAGTACCAGTCTCAAGAGAGACCCTGTCAGAGTGAAGGCCAGTGAGCCCTTAGATGCCCCCAACAACCACAAAGAAGAATCAGAGCCAGGCCCTGCCCTTGGGGAGCTCCTGGTCTGGGGGAAAGACAGACACAGACAGTGATCACAGGGAGCGATCAGTTCTGTACAGAAGGAAGCCCAGGAAGCTAGAAGAGTCCAGGATGGGAGACCTCACCCAGCCTTGGAGCTGAAAAAGTCCTCCTGGAGGGAGACTCAAGCTGAGTCTGGAAAACTGATCAAGAGTGGGAAGGAAAGGAATGGAGGTTGGAGGAGATAATGCTGGAGGTGGGAGGAGATAATGCTGGAGTGATCAGAGATGGATCATGGAGAATGGCAGAATGAGGGATTCAGTTTCATGGGGAGCCATGAAAAGTTATAAGCAGAGGAAAGACATAATCAGATTTGGGTGTTACAAAGATCCCTCTGGAGGCTGCTGTGAAGGAGGATGACAGGGAGCCAGATTGTAAGTCAGGAAACACTTGCAGTGTCTAGGGCAAAGGCCAACACTAGGGAGTTTGGACAGTGACATTGGGTTGAACAGATATTTTTACCTCCTCTGGGCCTTTCCTCCCCTCTCCTCTCCTTCCTTCCAGTCTGCCCTGTCTTGTCTTCCAACTCCGACTATCCCACTTCCTCTTCCATCTCATCCACCTTGGCTCCCTATTTCCACACTACAATCTTGCCCCATCTGGCTTCTCCACATTTCCCACAATACTCAACCTCTTCCCTCCTCCAGGACTTTCTCTGCCCCCTTACCCCTTTTCCCTCTGGAGTTCCTGCTTGAAACTCCTCTGAGAGCTCTGAGCAGGGACTCAAGCCGCTGCCCTGACCAGCCCTGCATTTCTCTCCCTCAGGGCAGTTCCAGCCCACAGACATTCAGCTGGTGACAGGGCCTACAGTGTCATGTCTGCGGAGGCACCATGGCCCTTATGTGCCTGTGGCTCTAGGCAAGAGGCTGCTGAAGGGCTCACCAAGGCCTCTTCTGTGCTGGGCTACCTGCTGGCTGGTGAAGCGCTCCCATGTAGAGCGACTGCTGGGCCACGCCTACCTCGCCTATGTCCTGTGACAGCTCCTGAAACGCGGAGCCAGGAGACTGGAGCTTGACAGACACAGAGGCTACAGCATGGGGTGAGCCAGGAACAAAGACCTAGGGACATGGAGACACACACAGGAGCACACACACTCACACATGCACTAAGGGACACATACACAAGGACATGCAAACACACACAGATACTCAGACCTATGCACCTAAAGGCGTAGGGACTCCTGTCTTCTCACTGTTCTTCCTGTCTCTAATCTCCACTACTTCCAATCCAAACTCCACACCAGCCCTGGAAGTAACTTTTTTTCTTTTTCTTTTTAATTGTTGTGCTTTAAGTGAAAGTTTACAGTTCAAGTTAGTCTCTCATACAAAAATTTATACACAAATTTTTATGTGACCCTAGTTGCTCTCCTGTACTGTGACAGCAAACTCCTCCTTTCCACCCCTGATTTCCCGTGTCCATTCAACCAGCTCCTGACCCTCTCTGCCTTCTCATCTCACCTCCGGACAAGAGCTGCCCATTAAGCCTCATGTATCTACTGGAGCTAAGAACCACACTCCTCAGGAATATCATTTTATGTCCCATAGTCCAGTCTAATCTTTGTCTGAAGAGTTGGCCGCAGGAATAGTTTTAGTTTTGGGTTAACAGATAGTCCGGGGGCCTTGTCTTCAGGGGTTTCTTCAGTCTCCATCAAACCATTAAGTCTGGGCTTTTTACTAGAATTTGAGTTCTGCATCCCCCTTTCCTCGGCCCCGTCAGAGACACTCTGTTGTGTTCCCTGTCAGGATGGTCATTGGTGGTAACCGGGCACTATCTACTTCTTCTGGTCTCAGGCTGATGAAGTCTCTGGTTTATGCGGCCCTTTCTGTCTCTTGGGCTAATACTGTCTTTGTATCTTTGGTGTTATTCATTCTCCTTTGCTCCAGGTGGGTTGGGACCAATTGATGCATCTTAGATGGCCGCTTGCTAGCTTTTAAGACCACAGATGCCACTCACCAAAGTGGGATGCAGAACATGTTCTTAATAAACTTTGTTATGCCAATTGACCTCGATGTCCCCTGAAACCATAGTCCCCAGACTCCCACCCCTGCTACGCTGTCCCTCGAAGTGTTTGGTTGTATTAAGGAAACTTCTTAGCTTTGGTTTAGTCCAGTAGTGCTGACTTCCCCTGTAGTGTGTGTTGTCCTTCCCTTCACCTAGGATAATTCTTGTCTACTATCTAGTTAGTGAATAACCCTCTGGCTCCCGCCCCACCCTCATAACCATCAAAGAATGTTTTCTTTTGTGTTTAAACCTTTCCTTGAGTTCTTATAATAGTGGTCTTATACAATATTTGTCCTTTTGCAACTGACTAAATTCACTCAGCTTAATGCCTTCCAGATTCCTCCATGATATAAGATGTTTCATGGATTCATCATTGTTCTTTATCTTTGTGTAGTATTCCATTGTGTGAATATACCATAATTTATTTACCCGTTCTTCCGTTGATGGGCATCTAAATTGTTTCCATCTTTTTACTATTGTGAACAGTGGTGCAATGAACTTGGGTGTGCATATATCTATTCATGTGACAGCTCTTATTTCTCTAGGATATATTCCAAGGAGCAGGGTTGCTGGATCGTATGGTACTTCTATTTCTAGCTTTTAAAAAAATTTTTTTATTGTACTTTAAGTGAAGGCATACAGAACAAATAGTTTCTCATTAAACAGTCAGTACACATATTGTTTTATGGCATTGTTTAACAACCCCACGACATGTCAACACTCTCCCTTTTCGACCTTGGAGGACCTTTTTTTTTTGTGAAAATATACATAGCCAAAGATACACCATTTCAAAAATTTCTACATGTACAATTCAGTAACATCAATTATGTTCTTCTAGTTGTGCTGCTATTTTCACTATCCTTGTTCAAATTATTCCATCATAATTGTCTTCAACTCACTTTCCCCTAGGCTTCCAATCAAACCTTTTGAGTTACTGTTGTCAATTTGATCTTACATAATTTTTTTTGTACTTTAGATGAAGGTTTACAGGACAAAATAGTTTCTCATTAAACAGTTAGTACACATATTGCCCTATGACAATGGTTAACAACACCACGACATGTGAACACTGTCCCTTCTCAACCTTGGATTCCCTATCACCAGCTTTCCTATCCCCTCCTGCCTTCTAGTTCTTGTCCCTGGACTGCTGTGCCTCATTAATCCCGTTTTGTTTTATGGGGCTTTCCAGTTCCTGGCTGAAGGGTGAACCTCGGGAGTGATTTCACCACTGAGCTAAAAGGGTGTCTGGGGGCCATATTCTTGGGGTTTCTCCATTCTCTGTCAGGCCAGTAAATCTGATCTTTTTTTGTGTTAGAATTTTGTTGTACATCATCTCCAGCTCTGTCCAGGACCCTCTGTTGTGATTCCGGTCAGAGCACTCAGTGGTGGTAGCTGGGGCACCATCTAGCTGTACTGGACTCAGTCTGGTGGAGGCCTTTGTAGCTGTGGTCCATTAGTCTTTTGGACTAATCTTTTCCTTGTATCCTGTTCTCTTCATTCTCCCTTGCTCCCGAAAGGGTGAGACAAGTGGAGTATCTTAGATGGCTACAGGCTTTTAAGACCCCAGACGCCACTCACCAAGGTAGAATGTAGAACGTTGCCTTTATAATCTGTGTTATGCCAGTTGAGCTAGATGTTCCCACAGACCATGGTCCCCACAGCCCTCTGCCCAGCAATTCAGCCCCACAAGGAGTTTGGATGTGTCTATGGAGCTTCCATGACCTTTCCTTGAACAACTTGTGCTGTCTTCCCCAGTATTGTGTACTGTCTTACCCTTCACCAAAGTTACTACTTATCTATTGTCTATTTAATATTTCCCTCACCCCTCCCATCCCTCGTAAGCAACAAAGACTGTTACTTTATGTGCGTAAACTTTTTCATGAGTTTTTACAGCAGAGGTCTCATACAATATTTGTCCCTTTGTGATTGTCTTATTTCACTCAGCGTAATGTCCCCCAGTTTCATCCATGTTATGAGATGCTTCACAGATTTATCATTGTTCTTTATTGTTGCATAATCCTCCATTTTGTGTATGTACCATAGTTTGTTTATCCATTCATCTCTTGATGAGCATCTAGATTGTTTCCATCTTTTTACTATTGTGAACAATACTGCTATGAACGTGGGTGTGCATATGTCTATTCATGTTACGGCTCTTATTTCTAAGAGTGAGATTGCTGGATGGTATGGTATTTTTATTTCTAGCTTTCTAAGGAAGCGCCGTATCATTTTCCAAAATGGTTGCATCATTATGCATTCCCACCAACAGTGCATAAGATTTCCGATCTCCCCGCAGCGTCTCCAACATTTGTTATTTCCAGTGTTTTTGATTCATGCCAGTAATGTTGGGGCGAGATGGTATCTTGTTGTGTTTTAATTTGCATTTCTTTAATGGATAGTAATCGCGAGCATTTCCTCATGTCTGTTGCCGGTTTGAATGTCTTCTTTGCTGAAGTATCTGTTCATTTCCTTTGCCCATTTTTTTAAATTGGATTATTTGTCTTTGTTGTAGAGGTGTTGGATTTTCTTGTAGATTGTAGAGATTAGACCTTTGTCTGATTTGTAATGTCCAAAAAATTTTTCCCAGAGTGTAGGTTCTCTTTTTACTCTTTTGGTGAAGTCTTTTGAGGAGCATAGGTGTTTGATTTTTAGAAGATCCCAGTTATCTAGCTTATCTTCTGGAGTTTGTGTGTTGTTGACTGTGGTTTGTATCCTGTTAATGCCTTGTATTAGGGCCTCTAGTGTTGATCCTATTTTTTTTCTTCTATGAACTTTATAGTTTTGGGCTTTATAATTAGGTCTTTGATCCATTTTGAATTAGTTTTTGTATATGGTGTAAGGTATGGGTCCTGTTTAATTTTTTTGTAGATGGACATCCAGTTTTGCCAGCATCATTTGTTAAAAACACTGTCTTTTCCCTGTTTGATGGTCTTTGGGCCCTTGTCAAAGATCAGGTAACCTTCAAACATCTGGGTTCTGTTTTCTGTTCCATTGGTCAATGTATCTGTTGTTGTACCAGTACTAGACTGTTTTGACTACTGTAACTGTATAGTAGGTTCTAAGGTCAGGTAGTGTGAGTCCTCCTACTTTATTCTTCTTGTTCAGGAGTGCTTTACTTATTCGTGGCTTATTCCCTTTCCATATAAAGTTAGCGATTAGTTTTTCTATCTCTTTAAAGAATGTTGTTGGTATTTTGATCAGGATTGCATTGTATTTGTAAATTGATTTGGGTAGAATTGTCATCTTCAGTATGTTGAGTCTACCTATCCATGAGCATGGGATGTTTCCCATTTATGTAGATCCCTTTGGGTTTCTTGCGGTAGTGTTTTGTAGTTTTCTTTTTATAGGTCTTTTACATCCCTGGTTAGATTTATTCCTAAGTATTTTATTTTTTTAAGAGCTATTATAAATGGTATTGTTTTCCTGATTTCCTTTTCATC